AAGAGGGAGTGAAGTAACTCAGCTAGGATGAACTGCAAAGCTGCCTTATTCAAGAAGGGGCAACTGTGGGAGAACCCACAGGGAGGTAGAACAGTAGGGCTTGGTGTCCGAGTAAGACACTCTACCATTTAGCAACCAAGTCAGGACTATTTGTTTCTTTAAGCCCCTCTTGGGGGAGACGAAGGACCGACCAAATCTGTAGCCTTTGTACAGCCTTTGAATCAGGCCTGAGCAACTTGGGTAAGGCTCTCCCCCTTTTTCATCCTTTGGCTGTCAGGTTCCTAGGCACTAAACAGAAAGGCCCTTCAGTCTGTTTCTGACTGAAATGTCAGAACTTCCCCACTCACTAACTGCCTTTGGTCCTTTGCTATATGCTCTGGAGGGCCCTGCATGCGCTTCCTAGTTAACATACGATGCCTTTTCTGGCACCCAGTCCACTTTCTAATTTAGGTTTTATTTATGACAAAGGGAATTTTGACCTGTATATACATCAGATATTCTAGAATTATTGATCCTCAATTGCACAGCTTATTGCAGGCTAGTGAGTTATTGCCAGTAAAAGCTTTCTGTTGTATTGTGTCTCCCTATTGCCAATTTGCAACTCCTTTCCCCGCCCTCGTGCATCATAAACTGTCTTTTGTTCATATCAAAGTTCAAAATACACTTTGTGTTGTAACAAGCTGATAAAGCCTGTCTCACAATTAATTTTGGTTACTCATTGAAACAAATAGTATGTACCTGTTATCAAACTCTAAGTGGCTTTAGCTAAGTTGCCCTATAGATTGTAATCCTACTGCTCAGTTCTAGCTCTATGAAGTGTGGACCAACCTTTTTATGAGGCTCAGCTCACTTGTTCAGATCTGTCCCCTTCTCCCTAGTCCTTTTGACTAAAGCCAAATAGTAGCACTGAATATAGTATGTCATCCCAATCAGATGTACGTGCTTGTCCTGAAACTGTGCCCATAGATATGGCTGCTGCAGTGGAACAAGAAGAGTTTGAAGTGTGTTATTTCACTGCTTATGCTTCCCAGAAGTATCTGATATGTCTTATAAACACAAAATAATTTTAGGCATAGAATACTTCATCTGCAGGAAACAGAAGCTTCACATTTGTACGGGATAATTCTTGTTTTTGTTTACTTTGTAATTTCCATGTTACATGAACATTCTGTTTCTCCATTGTTTAAATATCTCTCATTACCCAAGTGACAACTCCTCTCTGGAAGGATATATAGTGTTTATTCATCTTCTGATAAATCCAATAGCGTGGCTGTACAGCTTTGGTGATTAACAGCAGCCGTTTCCATTCAAAATCAAAGACAGTTGGTTCAAAGTAGTAATCTGCCTGCTTCTCATGTATCTTTTTTTTCTGCCTTCTGTGTCTCTCAGACTTGTATCTAATCCTGCTATTTGGCCAAAACAGTGTTGGAAACTCTTCTTATTTTAATTGGAGAACTGCAAAACTAGACTTTTGGGCTACATGGACAAATGAACTAAGGATGGAAATCAGTTCTCTAAAAAGGAAAATTCGTTATTTGTTTCTATGGAGGGAAGATAGGTTTTTAAAATGTTTTTTTTTTCTCCCTGTAAATTGTGTCTGGAAAAAAAAAAAGCTCAATCAGGGAAGATTTTGCATTTTGCAGAGTGTTTTTGTTTGCTTGTTTTTTAATTTGAGTTTGCTTTCATGAAAGCATAATTTTTTCCATTTTGTTTTGAACATAACTAAAGTCTAGGAATAAAAGTTGTATATTCAACCCAGAGACACAGGACAAGCCTGCAGTGCAGGACTTGCATAAAAATCAGGTTGTATAATTGTTTGTTTACAATAATGGAAACTGTATAACAATCTAGGCATTTTTAATATCAAAAACGTCATAAGCTACCCACTGTTTTCTCTTTTTTACTCTATAGGTATAGTGTAGCAGCAGAAGTTTAAATTGTGTGTTTCACTGAGGATTGAGAGCTAAAATTTCTTAAATCAGATTCCATTTATATAGATTTAATTTACTCTCAAACTCTTTGGAGGCTTATAATATGGACTTGTTTGAAAGGTTATTGGTGTCATATTTAGGCTAGTGGCAAATGAATGCTTGAGCCCCGTTTAATCTTCATTATTCGTAACAAGTCTTTAAAATGTACAGATAAAATAAAATACATGTTTAGATCTAAGGGCAGAAAGAGCTTAGTTGTCTGACTTCAGGTGCTAAGAAGAGAGTTGAGTTACTATGCAACTTAGTCTGAAAGATAGCCGTGCTCCTTTCTTTTTGCTATGTGCACTTACCTCTTTGAAAATGTGTGTGTGCGTGTAACCTTCATTCATGGCCTGCAATGGGTCGGTTACACAAACCAGGTATTGTGGTGCTGGACCTGGTAAGGTGGGTTAGAGATAGAGGGGAGCTTTGTCACATGGCTAGCTGCTGAAAGCAGTACCTACTCTTCTGGGGAATAAGGGTAGAGAAGGAATCCCTAAATTAGTTCATTTTTATCCCCACTGTTTATATTCTTCCTTCTTGTCTCACAACCCTTACGAAAGTCACTCTACAGAGGATTTATCACAAGGTGCCTTAGGAACAAAGAGCATGTCTGAAACAAGAGCCATAGATGTCATTAATCTAAGGTATTTTTTCTCATTTCTCTGCCCTGTTTGGGTAGAGGGGAGGCACTTCCTAAGGTCAGGTAAGGAGAACCCCTATAGGTTGTTTCTGGAGATTAAAGCTGTTCGGTAGACTGCCTTGTTGCTGAAAGATGAGTAGCAGAATTGAGTGTTTGAGTCTGCTGGTACCATGGGATATTTGCCTTTGAAAATTATATGCTGATGTCAGGTATTGGGGAACACCAGAGGACTACTCATTTCGATACGCTTTTGCCAAGCCTGAGGACCGGTGGAACACTAGCTAAACATATTTAGCATTTCTTGTGGCCATTCATCCTTTCCCCTAACAGGAGTGTCTGAATTCAGCATTGTGGGCAGTGTGTGCTTATGTGTTGTGAGACTGAATGAAAGACCAAAGCAACAAAGAATTTTTGATGTCAATGTGGAAGAAAAATGACTGTTTCTCCTTTTTTAGATCTGGGAGAATATTGGATGTATTTATTAAGATCGTGTAGATCTAGTGGAACATCTGAATTGGTAGAATGGAAAACTGAGAACTGATCTTGTTCAAAACATTGTCCAATTAGACTGTGAAAGAAGCCAGGAGTTTAGCAGGAATCAAAATGATGGGGTCACTTATTTAGATAAGTGGATTTGCAATTAATACTAAATAAAGTTTAAAAGGTACATAAAACTTCAGAGTTCAAACACATCTTGTTAGGACGAGAACTTCCTATGTGTGACATTTGCCGCTGAAGAGTCTCTGGTACCTTACTCTGAAACACCTGATGCTGGCAGCAGTTGAAGACAGAACATCAGACTAGGTGGATGGTGAATCTGACTCCCCAAGGCAGTTCTGCATTCTGTTCTGAATTTTACACCTTTCTCTCAAGTGCATCATCTCAAGAAATGTATCCTTTATCAAGCAGGGAGAGGAAGGCTTTTGACTCTTGAATGAGTGCTGCCTAGCTTGAGCCCATCCATACTGATGAGTCAAGTCCCTTGGGCAAGAAGCTGGATGCCAACCATTTAGCTTAGAGCTAAGGAGGCTTTGCCAGGTAATGACCTTGAAGTTTAGTAGCTATTTTTGAAAACTTTAAACAGCTGGAGATGGTCTCCCAGCAATCTCCAGGATGCCCTCATGACTGCCTGCTCTCTTCAGAGTGAAGCAATCTGCCCTCAACTCAGTGCTCCAAACTGCTAGCATAATCTTTCAGTGGTAAGCGTCTTGTAGCTAGTCATGCCTTTTGGAGACGTATTTTCTTGTGAACTGCGATAGTTGTCTGTCAGTCACTATGTGAAGTGAATATTTTTGATGTCCTGTAATTTCAAATTTGAGTTCTCTGTGTCATCCTACTGCTTTTCATATCCTTCCAAGATACGAGTTTTAAACGGAGAAGAGGATGTTTTAACGAAATGTAGCACCGAATGTCTTGCTGAATGGCACCATATGAAGACTATTTATAGTGTGCTTGCGTTCCTTCTAGACTTGGTTTGTATTGTTTGTTTGATGTGTTGTGGCTGATTTGTAATAGTGTATTGGAACCTATTCTGTTTAAATAAACTTTTCACTATGCAACCGGGTTCTTTATCTTCTGTTAAAGCAAGTGTGTGTTTTCATATGGAAAAACTGAACTACAGACTTCCTAAGAAAACAAGAACCAAATTAAACTTATTTTTATGAGCAAAGAAGAGGTTAAGTATTTAAAAAGGTGCATTGCAGAGTTCTGGACATTCTAATTGCTGACGGACGGGAAAATGCTCTTACTGGCCTGGAGCGCAGAAGCAGGGCATCGTTCCAGGAACGCTTGGTCAGCTAGTGGTTCTGGTTTCAGCCAAGCAATTTTTTGGTCTGTTAAAACGACTTGCTAGGGTTTTTTTTTTTTTTTAATTCTTCGCATTCTTTACAAGCGTTAGGAATGTTTGAAGAATTGGAGAGGAATGAGCAAGTTGCCAAGGTCTTGCTTGTACGTGGCACAGTGGAGTTACGTGGCCTCTCCCTCTGGTGCTTGATATTGGCCCTTTTCACTTCCATTTGGAGCGGTTCTTCTACAGCTAACTATTCTGTTACTTCAGCTTTGGATTTAAAGGATTAAAAACATCTCTTCATTTATTAGATACTGCTCTTCAGTTATTAGATACTGATCAACTTATGTAGAGAAAGTGTTTGCCTTTCATAATTTCCTCATAGCTGCTCGCCCATGGGCATTATCTTGCTGTGAATAAAACTTCATTTAAATAGCTTGAAGGAAGAGCATTCAGGGGGGTCACCTGCTGGACAAAATGAGAATTAATACCTGCAGCTTTAACTGTCTGTTCTTCTTTGTACTGTTTGGAAACTCAGTAGGACAAGTGCTGAAAATGTTCACCTGGCTCCGTTCGCTTGTCCTCTGTTTGCTTGGTGCATTTCTACAAAGTAACTGATGAACAGGAGCATTCATACAGAGGTGAATCAAAGGGACAGATGATCCTGCCATGTTAAATAAATTCACTCTCTTAAGAGAATGGACACAAAATGACTCTACAGCTATTTGATTACTATTAACTTGCTATGAATCCCTGTATGCTGTCTTGGTTCAGACATATGCCCAAGAGGAAAATTAAATGACCTTGGGGAGAAATATGGCAGTGATATGAAATCTTATCAGGTTAATTTCCCCCCATTTTTGTAATTTTTGCATTTGACTGCGGCAGAAATGTCTTCCTGATGTTTGCCCTGATCACATGCTGTTTAGCAGCCCCCTTGCAGCAGGCTTTGTTGGCCGTGCTCTGGAAGTGACTCCCCCTTTTCAGTTACACGGAGAGCACATCCTGCTAAAGTCCTGCCGTTGTCTTCGGTGTCCTCTGATTAGCAGCAGTCCACTTTTAAAGTTAGTCACTGTTACACGGATGGTACTGGATACACAGTAGCAAAGCATTGGCTGATTTTTGCATATGGTACTCTACCATCCTCATGTCTTCTCTCAGTGGGAGTCCTCATTGCTGAATAAGATGGCAGGTTCCATACCTGCTCCTTTTTACGTGAGAAAGAAATGTGCACAGATAATGTTCTTCAGGAATCAGAGAAAATGAATTATCCCTGCCCAAAAAGGGATGTGTGGCTTGGGCCTGAAAAGTGAATACAATTTGGTATGTGAGGCAGGGACGTGGCCTGGCAGAGGTTGGCCAGAGCACAGGTTGCTCCGTTCTCCTGATCTTCCCCTCGCCGGCAGGAGTAGCATCTCCGCAGTTGCAGCCCGCTCCCTTGATTGTACATCTAAAGAAGTGCAGGAAAAGCAGCATAAGAAAAGCACCGCTTCACCCGCTTGTTCCCATGGCAGGGGAACGCGCCCGAGCCGGGGGGGAGC